AAATTATTTTTTGTCTTTTAATAATATATAAAGTGAATAATTTAATTAACTTATAATTAATTTTGAATTCCAAGAATTTATAAAGTGAACCATAATTATATTAAAGAAGATATAAAATTAAATATTTATTAGTTAATTATTTATAAAGTGAGTCCATCTTAAGCGAAGAATTTTATATTATATACATAATTTTGTATTCAATAATATATAAAGTGAACCATAATTATATTGTAGAATACCAATATTAAAATTAATTTATTTATTATTATAAAGTGTCTCCATCTTAAGCAAAACAATTAGTAATATAAAGTGATACTTTTGAGATTTTTATCCTAGTCATCATATAGATAACATGCTTTCTTACGAGCTGGATGGATTACAGCGCCTTCAAGTACCTATTAAACGATGGGGATCTAGCTTTCGTGTAAAGGTTAGAAATCGCTACGGACGTATCATTTTTATTTCTAACGTGTCTAGATCTTCAAATCGTAAACTGATCTCAGCGTTCTACAAAATCTCCGAGACAAGACTTGAGAAGCATCTACCATCCAACTACAAACAACCTGGTTCGTACGAATTCTATCAAGGTGAAGCGCTTGAGTCTCACCTATATGAAAACTATTCTCAGGACGAACTCTTCAATAAAATCAGAAATGTTCTAATGGAGAAGGACAAAGCTTTCAAGATCAATGTTCAACTTGGGTACACGCTTATTGATCGGGTAACGGGCCTTGAACGTTACTACTATCCTGGTACAAATACATCAATTTTCGACCTACCAATTGCTATCAACTCAAAAAGTGATATAGACAATTACGTTATTAACAGCATTGAAACGATAGATTTCACCACTCGTATTAGCTTCCCGTCTTCAAGTTATCAGTTTAAAGAAGTGAATGCTGCTAAAGTCGTAATATATTACAGAAACCATAGTCTGGGTGACAATATTCAAATTCCTGACTGTATTAAGAAAAATCGTTTTGTTGTCGATTTCCCTAAGACCGATAACAAATGTATGTTCTATTGCATTGCTTATCATCTAGAAGAAAACAAACCCGATTCACGTCGTATGGTGTCGTTCGCTAAAGATCAATACAAACAATATTGTGTCTTTAAAAATATTAAGTATTCATCGAAGCTTTTCAAGGACGCTGAGCCGATTGATATTATGCAATTCGATGAGCTAGAAGATTGCTTTAAGATAAGTATAAATGTTTTCGAGATGAACCAGGAAACACTTAAGGTTTCTAAAATCAGAGAATCGTATAAGCAATTCAAGAATGTTATCAACATTTTGGACTATAAGGGTCATGCAATGTATATCACCAATTTAGATATTCTTCTTAGTAAATATCCCTGTAATGTATGCGGTGCGGTGCTTGATACATGTCAGAAGCTTTATGATCACAAACGTAGCAAATGCGAGTTTGAGGTATTTGAGCAGTTCTGTAAGAATCCAACCGCATACCAACCACCTACCAATCAAATTAAAAAAATGCTAACAAAATATTCGATTAACGGCGTAGATCACTACATAGACCACTTCATTGTTTACGATTTTGAAGCCATTCTAAAGCATATTGATGAAAAGCGAGGTGAAAACTCTAAATTCACTAGTCGTCACATACCTGTGTCTGTGAGCATTTGCGATAGTTTATCTATGGAGACTAAATGCTTCGTCAATGAAGATCCTAAGATGCTTTTAGAACAAATGTTTGCGTATATGTCTGAGGTTCAAGCTAAGATTTACCAAGCTAATCTTAAAAAGTTTGAAGTACTACTAAACGCAATATTATCTAAGAGCGGCGCTGACCACGGTGACTACTCTAAAGTACGAAACATTCTTAAAGCAGTACCA